GAAAAGAAAGACATAATACGCTGCATTGTCTTGTAAAAGCCACTGCATACACCTGCAAACAATAGGGCGTGTGTCGCGGCACATATTGTAGCGTACCCAGAGCTTTGCTTCAGGGACGATATTTTCCTGAACACAGTTGGTGGAATTCTACTCTGGCTGCGCGCCAAGCTATTCCCGGAAGAACGTGCTGCGTACCTTATTCGGATATAGACCGGGATAATGTCTTTCTCGCGGGGCCTCTCCGTGTTTGAAGGATTGTCATCCTGTCCTGTGCTGGACAGACATGCTTACAATTGCTCCAGAACAGTTATATCCCACCAAAAGCACGCCGCAGCTATGCTAAAACGAAATCGTAGCCAGGTCCCTGAAATACAGGTTTCCATACACGGATGTATGTGCGATTTCTGCTTCCTACAAAGAAGACTCGTCCTGAAGTTTTTGAAAGTTGTGCAACCTCCGATCTCTCCCCCTTTTAAATTATAGATAACAGCTGTTGAGTTGTCAGGTGTTTTGGGCCCTGCGAGATTGGTAAACTTTCAGCAATAAACCGTTGAACAATGAACAAAGATTCCTCCTACCACTGACAAAAACAGCTGGCAACCATGTGAATAATTTTCAAAGGTGGTATGTAAGGTAAAGGGTGACTGTGCGAAATGATTTTTGACGGTGGTATGTAAAGGTAAAAGGGTGAGGGTAAAAAGGGTAAAAGAAATGGAAAAGAAAAGGGAAAAGGTAAAAGACTATGCGATTTTGGTTTTTTAGCATAGCTCTATTGTTCCCCCATAGATCTCCAACATATTTTGGTATTTTCTGGGGTCCTTCTTTGTACCGCTATATTTTCGGTGAATGAAAATTGACAGAACCATGCTCTGTTCCCTTTACTGCCCCGGGTTTTGGATATTCTGGTGAGAACTTCGAGTTGCTTGGAAATTAGCATATAGGGGTGGCTTGGCCTCCTGAACATAAATATCACATTCGCTTGGCACAAACCCCTGCTGGGAGCAGAGGTGTAGGCGCCTTGATCATCAGGAATGGTCACAGAAGCTGACATTTCAGGTCTTCCATGTATTGGGTTAATTCATTCAAAAACTTGGAGACATATAGAGCAATGGCAGGAAAGCAAAGAGGGAACGGCTGTGGGTTTCTATCCCGCTTAAAAGCTGGTACTTTTAGCTACGTATTTGTGAAATTCGGCTTGCCTAGCCACAGAAAAGTGTCCACATAAATTGAAAAGAAACCCGAGTGGTCAAAACTAGTGCCGGATTATGGAAATTGGTAGCTCAAGGGGAGTGCACTGCTCAAATTTGCCGGACCAGTAGTTGCGTACAGTGCGTAACAAAAGTATGTGGACACCTCAAATTTTTGTCCTGCAAAATTGCCTTTGAATTTTGCGATATGAGACCTTTATTGTTGAATTCCTCATAAGCGAAAACATAGGAATACACTACTTCTGAGCACTTTGTGAACTACTGTACAATTATTTATTGTTTTGAAAAAGTTTCTTAATAACAAAAGTATGTGGACACCTGAGGAAGTCCAAAGTTTGGCTCCAGATCTGCAATCCATTTTTATGGTCTCTAGTCCCCATTAACCTGTACTCATACCTCGTCGTAGTCCTCCCTACGAAGACGAAGACGAACAAGCTCGGATTCGAGCTTTCAGTGCTGCAGGTGCACGATCGAATAGAGAAATTGCAAGGTAGCTTGCACTTTCGGCGACGTGTGTTTGGTAAACTCGAGCGAATCCTGGATGGCTTGACGCACTTCAGTACCCTGTTTCGAGGCACCTAAGATCTTTGTCCGCAGAAGACATCAGAAGAATAGCCTCAAACTCCCCGCTTTCTGTGCA